CAAAAAAATAAAGAAGAAAAAAATGTTTTGAAAACTACCGACCTTTCTAGTAATAAAACATTTGCAAATTCCGCACTGCGAAATACTTTATGGGCGCCATTCCCTTTTCTCTAATTCAAAATGGAAATTCAACTGGAATTATTATTGTATGTTGCTCAATGCTTCAAGAAAAACCTAATTTAAGGTTAGGTTCAGCTGTCTCTAAGCAGCATTTTCTATTCTATTAACCCCATTAAACCTAACCTAAACTATTACATAAATTTGTTAGAATGATTTGCAACTTTTTCTTTCTAGTGGACAAAAATCCGAAATCTTTCAGTAACTATAAAACTTTTTGGATATTTGTCTCTATTTTCGGTTTCGTTTGTTTCTTCTTTTGTCGCACGCTGATTATGTGTGTTTGCGTATGAAGATGTGTGAGGCTGAGAGAGAAGATTGGAGAGTTTTTTTTTTTATTGTCAATGTTCAGCTGTCTCTAAGCAATATTTTCTTTTCTCTTAACCTTATTTAATCTAACCTAAACTATTACATAAATTTGTTAGAAGGATTTACAACTTTTTCTTTCTAGTGGACAAAAATCTGAAATCTTTTAGTAACTATAAAACTTTTAGGATATTTGTCACTTTTTTCGGTTTCGTTTGTTTCTTCTTTTGTCGCACGCTGATTATGTGTGTTTGCGTATGAAGATGTGTGAGGCTGAGAGAAAAGATTGGAGTGTTTTTTTTTATTGTCATTGTCTCTAAGCAATATTTTCTATTCTATTAACTTCATTTAACCTAACCTAAACTATTACATAAATTTGTTAGAAAGATTTACAACTTTTTCATTCTAATGGACAAAAATATGAAATCTTTCAGTAACTATAAAACTTTTAGGATATTTGTCTCTTTTTTCGGTTTCGTTTGTTTCATCTTTTGTCGCACGCTGATTATGTGTGTTTGCGTACGAAGATGTGCGAGGGTGAGAGAGAAGATTGGAGAGTTTTTTTTTATTGTCATTGTTCAGCTGTCTCTAAGCAATATTTTCTTTTCTCTTAACCTCATTTAACCTAACCTAAACTATTACATAAATTTGTTAGAAGGATTTGCAACTTTTTCTTTCTAGTGGACAAAAATCTGAAATCTTTCAGTAACTATAAAACTTTTTGAATATTTGTCTTTTTTTTCGGTTTCGTTTGTTTCTTCTTTTGTCGCACGCTGATTATGTGTGTTTGCGTATGAAGATGTTTGAGGGTGAGAGAGAAGATTGAAGAGTTTTTTTTTTATTGTCATTGTTAAAAATATATATGAGCTGAATAATC